ACTCACAAATATCAATATTAATCCTAAATTTAAATAGATTAAATGCCCCAATCAAAGACACAGACAGGCAAATTGAATAAAAAGTCAAAACCCATCAGTATGCTGTATCCAGATCCATCTCATAAGCAAGAACACACAAAGACTCAAAACAAAGGATTGGAGGAAGACTCACCAATCAAATGAAGAGCAAAAAGAAAAAAAACAGGAGTTGTAACTTTCGTCTCTGACAAAATAGACTTTAATAGTAACAAAGACTAAAAGAAACAAAGAAGGGCATTACATAATGGTAAAAGGATCAATGCAACAACAGGAGTCAATGATCATAAATATATATGCACCCAATACAGGAACACCCAGATACATAAGACAAGTTCTTAATGACTTATAAAGAGACTTGGACTCACGCACAATAATCACAGGAGGCTTTGACACCACATTGTTAATATTCAACGAATCAATGAGATAGAAAATTAACAGGGACATCTATGATTAGAACTCAGACCTGGAACAAGTAAACTCAGTGAATATTTATAGAATTCTTCACCCCAGGTCCACAGAACATACATTTTTCTCAGTATCACATTACACCCATTTTGAAAGTGACCACATAATTGGAAATAAATCACTCTTCAGCATTTGCATAGCATTTCACAGACTTAAATGAAATATTGGTTGGTTGGTTGTTATTTTCTTCCCTTATTCCTTCCTGTCTCCACTGTTAAGCACAGTTATCAGCATAAAAGAGGTTTTTAATACCTATTTTTAGATTGCATTCCAGCCTGGGCAATAGAGCAAGACTACAGTTCTCTCTCCCCCTTTCTCTTTCTCTTTCTTTCAAAAAAAAAAAGAATGTGTAAGTCAAAAGGTGCATCCCTGGTTAGTTGTTCAGGTATGGAAGCAAACACTGGCAATTCCCTTCTGAATACTGGACTTACCTTTAGCCTCATGCTCTTACTAGGGGAAATGTAGATGTAGATATGTTAAGTGTAAGTTAGCTCTTCCCCACCCCATCGTCTGGCTCCTATGCCACCATAGCCAATTATTTTTCACTCTATACCAACCTAGATCTAGAAATCAGACTTAGCTTCAGGTTCATTCTATCCTACATATGTACACACACACACATACTCCTTTCATACTCACCAGATGTGAGGCTTAGAACTTCTGCAGGCATCGTGGAAACTTCAGAATAAGAAAGAATAAAAATAAGAATGAGGATTTCAGTAAATCAGCAATCTCTTGCATCTTCTTTCTCTGACACACTGATATAAACCCTTCCATTATGTAGTCCCTACCTGTACTCTTTCCTGCCTGCTGGCTCATTCCTTCTGGATGTCCCTCCCAACCCTACCCCCTAGGAACCAAAAATATCATCCTCTTACATTCTGTTCTATCAAGCCTCAGGAAGTTCTGAGATGCCAAGAATAGGAATTGGGAAGGAAGGTTACAGTAGCGGTGACATGATATATGTCTTTGAGTCCTTAGCATGGCATTCAAGGGTCCTCATAATCTTATACTTGCTAACCTCATTAAAATCATCTTCCTACACCTTTTCCATTCACATTGAACACACGCATTTGTAGCTCCCCTTCACCCACACACCATTCTATTTCCAGTCTCTGAGCCATTGCTCATACAATTCTTTTGTCTGAATTACCCCCACATCCCTTAAACCATCTGCTTATCCATTTACACATAAATGAAGTGCCACCTCTTCCAGAAAGTCTTTCTTTACCATAACATTTAAAACACTCTAATAAAATTATCTCTCTATGTGTTTGTCTCTCCCACTAGATTCTAAGAGCTTGCAGGGCAGAGCTATTTCTCTGATTTTCCTCTCTAAGCCTCACTCTACTGTAGCTGTTTAATAAATATCTGCTTACTGTACAGTGTCAATGAAATAGAAGGGCAACCATTTTGAGGGAAAGGAACAAGGGGAGTAGAGTATGTGTGATCTAGAATCACACATATCTGGATTTGAATCTCTGCTGCCAACTTCACAGCAGAGGGGCTTGACCAAGCTCGTATGTCCTCCTCCACGTAGTGAATTGACTCATGGTGCACTTATGAGTCAGTAAGTGGGAGAGAGAAACACATGACTCCAGGGCCAGATTGCCTGGTTCGCATCAGCTTCACTACTAACTTCTAGTGTGACCATAAGAAATTTTCTGACCCTCTCTGTACCTCAGTTCTTTCATTTGAAAAATAAGCTCCATAATAATTCATCTCTCTTAGAGCTTCTGGAAGAATTAAATTGAGATGAAACTGGTCACGACTACATAGGCATCAAGATGAGGGGGGAAAAAAGAGAGAAAGAAGAAGAAAAAAAATAGGGATGAAACCTGATAGAATAGCACCATACAAACGTTAGATGGTCATTAAAGTTAGCAATTATTATTACATAAAATACGGATAATACTACTTATTTCAAAGGTGCTACAAGAATATATAGTGGATGAGTAAATGATAGTTGTTACCATTAATTGTATATATCAAATAAAGAACATTTATGTATTTTTACAAAGAAACTAAGTAGAGTGTAACTGAGGTAGGACAAATAAATTCTGAGAACTAAAATATCATTCTAAAACTCTACTTAAAACAAAAATCTCAGGCTGGACATGGCGGCTCACACCTGTAATCCCTCCTTTGGGAGGCCAAGGCGTGCAGATTACCTGAGGTCAGGAGTTCAAGACCAACCTGGCCAACATGGCAAAACCCCATCTCTGCTAAAAGTACAAAAAGTAGCCCAGCATGCTGGGGGGGTTCCTGTAATCCCAGCTACTTGGGAGCCTGATGCACGAGCATCACTTGAATCCAGAAGGTGGAGGTTGCAATGAGCCAAGATCACAACACTGCACTCCAGCCTGGGTGACAGAGTAAGACTCCGCCTCAAAAAAAAAAAAATCTCGCCCAATCCTGGTGAATTTTCAGCTTCACTAAAGAGAAGAAAAACAAAAGGGGATTTAACATTATGCACTAACACATGTAATGAAAATGACATAGGCTTTGGAGACAGATAAGACACACCTGCATTCCAATCCTGGTCCTATCACTTAAGTCATTGTTTCCAATAAAATGTCAGTATTTGGGATCTTTCCTTGGAAGATGTCATCCAATAAGTTTCTTCACTGTATTCAGCAATTTTTTTTAACAATTCCAAGGCAAGCAGTGCCTAGAACTGGTGGCTGAGATTAAAAACGAATGACATTGTCACTAAGAGTGAGCTCAAGGTAATGCAAACCGCATGAGACACTGGGACCAGACAGACCTGGGGTTGAAAATGGTTTCCACCTTTGCCTTGCTGTGAGACCTTGAGCAAGTTACATAACCTCTCTGGCTCTCAGACAACTCTTCTGTAAATTGGGATAATAACAGTATCTACTTCATAATCACATTCTCTTGAGAGGAGCCTATGCTGATCCTACCCACCTACCTCTGGCTGTGGTTAAGGGGTCATAGTCTGTGTTCCCAGAGCCCACTGTTCTTGTTATTTTAAGATGAAAGGCATAGATGTCATTATGGGTTACACTGAAAGAACAAAGAATGTGAACCCAGATTAGTGGAATTGTCAAAAAGAGATGAGCCCTACACTCACAAGGAGACAGCTCTCTCAAGTTTCCTGTTTCTTCTTTGACCATTCATCCCCAGTCCATCTCAGTCTGCAGCTTTTCTCTTTGTGTCTCAATATGCATTCTCATTATACTCCTAAAAGGCTTCTAATTCTTCACTTTAAGCCCTTTCATGTAATTTTTCTGTGTGTATGGTTACCATACAAGACTGTGAGACGCTTGAGGAAAAGGATGAAGTTATGTTGGCTTTTATCCATCCAGCAACTAGAACACTTCCTGAATCTTGGCAGGAAAACTAAAAATAAATCTAATGAAAACTGAAAACTTATTGAAAAAAATGTAGAAATATGTATATATATATATATAATATATATATACACACACATATATAATATATCCAGTTCCTTTCTGCTGTATTATTTCAAATAAATTCTTGCATTTACTCTCTGCTGCATTTAGGATATATTATTCCCTTTTTTAAAGTATAAGATTACTGGGAACCAGAGAACTTCGGATCCATTTCCATGGTTACAGGGCCGGTATGTAACAGAATGAGCATGGAAACTCTGGGTATGTAATGTCAATGCACATAAGGACGACAGCATAGGCAATCTCCAGGTATGGTGGACAATGTAAAAATATCTCTTGGAGAAGGAGCTGCAAATTTATTTTACCAACATGTTATACCAGTGAAGCTCTCATTTTAAAATAAAGGGAAGGGTCTCGTAGAGTCATTTTCAACAAGTGGACAATTTTGGTAATACAAACAAAGCAGCAGCCCAGTAAGTTCTTAGAACCGGAAACTCCCCTCCCCCCCCAACACCCACCTGCGCCGCCCACGCTGCAGGGCCACGACTGGGCCGGATTTACGTTCAGGGCTGAGGATGCCATGGGCAGAGTAAGAAAGAGAACCGCCACCCAACCATGCAGCAAAGAGCAACCCAGGGATCCCTCCTCTGCTTGCTCCTCTCCCCGACCCCTGTCATACCCTCTGCGCAGCCACTTCGGTCACCTGGCGCCAGGGGCGCTCCGCAGTCTGCTGTCCAAGCCCGGGTCAGGAAGCTAGCGGTAGCAAAGAGCACCACCGAAAAGAAGCTGGCAAGCTAGCGAGGCCGGCTCCAAAGACCCACAGCTAGACGCGCCGCTCCGAACTCGCGGGCCCGCGGCGTCCACCAATGAGATGAACCTGGGCGCGCAGTGTCTGAGGCTCAGTTGCTAGGGCGCCGCCAAGGTCCAGCGGGACACCTTCTGGTAGCCGGGCCTCGTTCATTGCACCTGGGGCTGCCGCTGAGACGCGGTTCAATTTGAAGTCTGAGCCCCTACAGGCGCGTGAATCCTGGATTACAACTGCAGTTTGTGCCAGAAGCAGCAGCACCTACATTCCACTTAGCAACCTCCGGCTTCACGCTCCTCCAGGGCACAGAAAGCATGAGAGCATCATCACCAACCCAACACACACCGGCGCTAAAGTTTCCGCAGCAGGTGTGGGTTGAAGAGTTGCCTGCCACACAGCTGTCTCTGACGCCTGGTGTACGGCGTCACCCCTCACTGCCCGGACAAGGGAACATTTTCCTAAAGGTAAAGCCCATGAACATGTAGAGGACCCCTTACTCTCGTGCTAGTCCACATTCAGCCCGAAGCAATTCAGGAAATTTACCATTTAAGTGACTCCTTAGATTGGTCTTTCAGAGTAATGGCTTACCCTGCAATCTCAATTCTCTGATAAGTTTTTTATTTAAGCCATTGATTAAGTTTGTTCAGCTTTTGTTAGAAGAAGGAGGTGGGGTGACAATTTCTAGCTTCTTAACAATGAAAGAGCTGAAACCAGAAGTCTCACTTGTGATCATTTTGCAACATACTACAATCAGTATAAGCCCTGTGATTTAGAAATGTAGTAAATGCCTGAGAAACAGAAAAAAAAAAAAGTTGAAAGAAGTTTTCTCAGGACCCGGAGCAGGACTGGGGCGAATATGGATTTAGAATCAAATGATTTCTGGTTTCATTAAAGGCCACTATTATTATTCTTTAAGAACTTTTTTTTTTAATTTTTTATTGGATTTTAGGTTTTGGGGTACATGAGCAGAGCATGCAAGACAGTTGCATAGGAACACACTGGCAGTGTGCTTTTCTTTCCTTCTCCCCTTCACCCACATTTGGCATTTCTCCCCAGGCCATCCCTCCCCACCTCCCCCTCCCTCTGGCCCTCCCCTTTTCCCCCCAATAGACCCCAGTGTTTAGTACTCCCCTTTCTGTGTCCATGTGTTCTCATTTTTCATCACCTGCCTATGAGTGAGAATATGCGGTGTTTCATTTTCTGTTCTTGTGTCAGTTTGCTGAGGATGACGTATTCTTTAAGAACTTTTAAGGTCATGTATGTATACTATTTTGAGAAAATTAAAGAATAAGTGATGCATTTTATGTAGAAATAATCCGTTGAAATTCTACATAGAAAAATACATAGAAATACCAAGCTTAATTTCAAGATTAAATAAATGCTCAAAAATACATACAATTCCTAAAAGTTATTACCACTTACTGTTAATGTTAGTTGTGACTGTTTGTAAATTAACATGCACATTTTACTTTTGATCCAGATATTACTGTTTGAACATTAATTGGCTTAAGTAATAATTTTCAAATTGCACTTCGCAAAATTTAGAGGAAACAATGCAAGGGAAGGGACTATATTCCCAGTTACCAGATGAAGACACTAAAGCTCAAAAGATTAGGTAAATTGCTGAAACTCAGACACTAAGTAAGTGATGGAACTGGCAGTCCCACAAATCCATCTGATGTTATGTATACCTTCTTCCTCTGCACATTTTTGAATAGCTATGCCTTTATCAGAAAAATGGTGTTACTGTTCCACTAGGATTGGGAATCAAAATTACTGATAAAAGCACAAGGAGAGTTGAATGCAATCTTTCAATTCTTTTGAGGAATCACAGATCCCTAAGCCAACAAAAAAGTGATTTAGAGTCTAGAAGCAAAGACAGAAATCTTCCAAATTTGTTTAATGAAGGAAGTCTAAACTCTGATTCCAAAACCTGGGAGAGCTAGTCCACCACACACAAAGAAAGATGTGGATCTCTCTCACTTATTAACTTACATTTAATTTTTTATTAATAAAGTTTAAGTCCATAAAATTCAACAGTATATACAAATCTATCATATCCTGGTAGTTTCCTAGTCATGAGAACATGGTGTAATACTAGGAAATATTTTAATTAACTCATTATAAGTCAAAGGAGAAAAAAATCCTATCATCTGAGGTACTGAACAAAGAATTCAATAAATTCAATCAAACTGATGCACTCTGCAGTCATTCTAAGTTCTTGCCTACTAAAATCCTCAGCTACTACAGATCCACAATCCCTTCTATGAAACCGTTGGTACCAAATGGTTCAGAATTCGTCTCCCATACATACATAATATCCACATCAAGGCCTATAGTAATATTATGGAATCTAATGCAATGATATTTTTGCAGTGAAACATACCAATATTCACTCCAAGTTCTAAAAATTACAAATAGCATCACATCAGTTCAAATCAGGTTTTATGGACAAATTAGTCAGGAAAAGTATGTTTTTCAAAGCACTTTGGATGTTAGACTTGCCCCTAAGGGATTGTGAGTCAATCATTTCTGTCAACTCTTCTTGCCTTTCATACAATTTTTTGCTTTCTGTTATCTTTTTTATTATTTAAATACAACATTTAAATAGAATATTGTGTAAATCATATAGGACAACAAATTGATGATGTTTTAGAAAGTGAACCCTTGCATGTAATAACCAGTAAGACCTAAATATAGAACATTACTGGCACCCCGGAAACCTGTGTTATGTCCATGCCTAGTCATTATCCCTGAAAGTTAAGCATTGTTCTGACCTATGTCACTATAGAATAATAGTTTTGCCCACTTTTTTTACTTTACACAAACAGAATTATAAATTATGTACATTTTATGCCTGGTTTCTTTTGCTCAGTATGAATGCTTCTGAGATCTGTACATTTTGTTGCATGTAGGGGAATTTGCTTGTTTCATTCCTGAATAGTATTCCATTGTATGAATATACCACCATTTATTCATTCGACTGTTGATATATATTTAGATTGTTTCTAGTTTGTGACTATTTCCAAAAATGCCACTGTGAACATCCTTATCATGTCTTTTGGAATACAGGTTTATGTATCTCTGTTGGATATATACTTGTGCGGTAAACAGAATTATAAGATGATCTCTGATGGCTCCTGTCTTGGTATCTGTTTCCATTGGGTGTGGGTGGAACCTGTAAATATTTTGAGATCTCACTTTTATGATTATATTACTTCATATGGCCGGGTACGGTGGCTCACATGTGTAATCCCAGCATTTTGGGAGGCCGAGGCGGGTGGATCACAAGGTCAAGAGATCGAGACCATCCTGGTCAACATGGTGATACCCTGTCTCTACTAAAAATACAAAAAATTAGCTGGGCATGGTGGCACGTGACTGTAATTCCAGCTACTCAGGAGGCTGAGGCAGGAGAATTGCCTGAACCCAGGAGGCGGAGGTTGTGGTGAGCCGAGATCGCACCATTGCACTCCAGCCTGAGTAACAAGAGCGAAACTCCGTCTCAAAAAAAAAAAATTACTTGATATGGCAAAAAGGATCTTACAGATGTAATTAAGGTCACAAATCAGTTGCCCTTAAAGTGGGTGAGCAAGACCTACTTAATTAGGTGAACACTTACAAGGGCCCAGGTTTTTGCTGAGAGATTGGAAACATGAGAGAGCATTTGGAGGGGCCACAGGACAAGGAACTGCAGGTGTCCTCTAGGTGCTGAGCTGCTGCCCTCTATCGACAGCCAGCAAACGAATGAAGGGGCCTCAGTCCTACAGCTACAGGGCACTGGACTCAGCTGGCAACATAGATGGGTCTGCAAGGGCTTCTTCCCCAGAGACTCCAGAAAGGAACACAGGAAGTCCAAGAGCATCTCACCCTGTAAGATCTTGAGCAGGGAAAGCAGTCACAGAGTGCACAGAACTCTGACCTACACAACTGTGAGCTAATAAATGAGTGTTGGTGCAAGCCGCTAATACTGTAGCAATGTGTTTCACACCAATAGAAACCACTATAGATTTTGATATCTGGATGTGAGGTGTAGTCACTGTACATGCCTTAAAATGTGGATGTGGCTTTGGAACGGGATAGCAAGCAAAGGCTGGAAGAATTTTGAGATGCATGGTAGGGAAAGCCTAAATTGCCTCCTTGGACAGCTGTTAGTAGAAGTCAGCTGGATATCCAAACTGTTTTGAGACTCCTCTTTTCTGCCTTCCATTCCCTCCCATATAAAACAGAATGTTTATAGATGTTATCCTACGCCCGTCTCATCATTGTATGTGGTGGTGTTGGGGGAAGATAACTTGTCACTTTAGTGCTAATGGTCTGAAGCTGGAGAGGGATTTTTGCCCTAGGAGTTTTACTGGATACGATCATACCCAGGAATCTCATCTGTTCATGATTCAGATGATGAGATTCAGATGAGCTTTGGAATTGAGCTGATGCTATAATACAAAGAAATTTGGAGACTGTGGGATGGATTTAATGTATTTTGTATGTGGGAAAGACTGGATCACTGAGAGCCAGAGGGCAGGCTGAGGCAGGCAGAATTCTAAGATGGCCTCTAATGATCTCTGATCTACATGAACTTCTTCCGTTGAGTATAAGAATGGCCTGTGAATATGATGAGATACCACTCCCATGATTATGTTACACTATATGGGGAAAGAGATCTTGCAGATGAATTATGCTCCCAAATCAGTGAACCTCAAAATAAGGAGGTTGGCCTGTGTAGGCCAGACCTAAGTAAGTGAGCCCTTAAGACGGCCTGAACCCTTCCTGGAAGATTAGAAGTGTGAGGAGGAATATGTAGAGCTATATGTGGCAAAGAACTGCATGAGGACTCTAGGAGCTAAAAATGGAACTGAAATCTGCCAGTTACCTGAATGAGTTTGGAAATGGATTCCTCCTCAGTCCCCGGAAAGAAACACAGACTGACTGACAGATAGCACAGGCTGATTTCACCCTGTGAGACCTGAACAGTACCAAGCCATGCCATGCATGGCACTGTAAACCTGTAGAACTGGAAGCTTAAATAAATGCACAATGTTTAAATAAAAAATAAATCCATTAAATTTGTGATGATTGGTTATGCAGGTATAGAAAACTAACACAGATGGAATTGCTGGGTTATAGAAAATGCGTAAATTCAACTTTAGTAGGTACTGCCAAGCAGTTTTCCAAGGGTACTAATTTACACTCCTACTGGCAGTTAGAGTTTCAGTTACTCTATACCCTCTCCAGCTCCTCATATTGATAGCCATTCCGGCCATTCTGATAGATGTTTGCTGATGACATCTTGTGATTTTAACTTGCATATCCATGGTGACTTATTTTGGGCAGTCTTTTGTTGTCAGTTTAATATCCTATTTTGTGAAGTACCTGTTGAAATATTGTGCCAGTGTTGAACTGCATTTACTTTTATTCTTTATTCTGTACAGAAAACGTTTTCGGAATATGTGCGTGCATGAGT